ATTATCTGCCTCACATGAATTCCCAATATAAACTCTTTTTGTTATGGGGCTCTGCTAAATATGCATAGTGATGTAGGTTACCACATAGTCTGCCCCTCTCCGACTGTTGACCTGTCCTTACTGATTTTAAAAGAAAAATAAAACATTTTACCACCAATCTAAAAACGTTTTAGCTTGCTCTAGTAAAAATCTAGATTAGGTTGGAATCCGTCACATATTTCACTCGAATAACTTTGATTCCTCTGTAAAGTGTAAATTAAATTCAGCGAAGATAAACATTTTTTAAAATTTTTCAAATTCTCCCATAACCACCAAAACATGTTGCAAAAGCGTGCATTGCATGCATTCTAAATTTGTGATTAGAAATCTAATAAACCAAATTCTGCAGCATGAACATCATTAAAAAAATGCCATCCAAATGCTTGGTATTCCCATTGTCATCCGGCCATTGTCAACACACTCCAAGATGAAAAATAGTAACTGGCATTGTAAAAAGTTTAAAATTCTTTTTTTAATACTTCACTTTATGTCTGTCATAAAAACCACTAAGCCATTAATATCACACTATTCATAATCTTGAAGAAACACCGAAAAAAAGACAAGAACATACCACACACTAAGTTGCCTCCAAAGCTTCCAATTTATTTCGCTTCACAGAAATGCAATCGTCGTCTTTGTCGTTGTTGTCGTAGTTGTTATGCGGTCGTTTGCCTTGACAGCGCCGCACCGTGCTATTTCTTAAGTTCATTTGTTTTCTTTTGCTTTTGCTTTTTTCGCTTTAGCAAATTCATAACAAATTTTATGCGAACGTTCAAAGTGTCGCCCATAAAATGAATGGAAATTCCAGCAACCCACACCTAAATCCTTAATTGTAAAAACAATAAAATATTAAGCGCACAGAAAACTCGTCGTATAATAATAATCAAATATTTAACACGTGTACGCATACAGGGTGCTGCATAGTCGAAGCGACAATATTATATAATTTTATTAATTTTTTAGAAACAGAAATCAGTAGATAAAATGTATCATTTTGATCCCTAAAATAAATAATTACACTTTGCTACAAAATTAAGTTTTTTTTTTAATATTTACTCGACAGATCCAGAAGACTTTGAAAATAAAGATGAGAATAAAAAACACATGTATTGGGGTTTACATCGCAAAATAACTTACTCCCTCTTTTTGAAAATTTCGGATTAAGACGGCTTTGACAAAAAATTACATATATAGTACCACCTCTTCGTATAACCCCCATATTACGGTTTTTATTTAAGCGATATTTTTCGGAGTTTTTTTTTTTTTAAATTTTCCTTCCAAATGGTGGAGGGTATTTAAAGTTCGGCCCGAGCGTACTTAATTGCTTTTTTACTTATGAGTACTGTTTTCTAAGTATTTATATGTCACAAAATTATACTATAGGTCCTAAAAGACACCATAAGTTTCCATCTAACTTAAACGCCATTAATTCATTTATATTAAAATCACAAAATGCAAAAAATTCTAAATTTATCTGTTTGTTGAAATGAAGATACTGCCCACATTATTTGAGGTAGAGCTTTGAAATTTGGCACAATCGTTTTTAATGTGTCTAAGATGGTTGGTCTACCTTTTGTAATAGCTCCCATATTACTGTACCTCCTAATATTCGGCATTTTGATGATTTCTGCCACAACAAATCTTGTCTTAGCAAAAATATTTGTATGCCTGAAATTTGAAGACAGTTGGATATTTATTTCGCTTTCTTTGAGCGTTAGGTTTTTCAAAATCTTGAGCCCTATGTGATGGAGGTACCAGAAGAAATGGTCCATCTTTATAACAGATCATGTGTTGATGGAAATATTGAGATGTACCAAGTCTGAATGGAATTGGATGTTAATTTCGTGTTTTATAAGCTTCATGGATATTCAAAATGTTAACCCTTTGTAGGGGAAGGTGCCAGAACGAGTGGGCCGATATATTCCATCTTTACACCGGACCTTGGATTGATAACGATATTGTGATGTGTTTAATTTGAAGACAATCGGGCTCTAACATCACATTTTATAAGACTTGTAATTATTCAAAATTTGGTTCTTTGTGGGGAGGTACTTGATGGAGTGGACAGATATTGTCCATTTTCGCACCTGACCCAGCACTGATGTAAATATTAGAATTTGCAAAGTTGGAGCAATCGGATTATCCTTTTTCTTTCAGTGCTGAAATTTTATTTTTTTTTAATTTCCGACCTTTTGTGGGGGACGTACGGGAAGGAGTTCACACAGACGGACGGACTCCACTCCAAATGTCCTGAAACGGATTTGGTCCAAAGAGACCTATGGTCTAAAACCGTTATTTCGATGAGGCACGTTTTGGCCATATTCAATGATATATACCCTCTTTAGCCATATGACAGAGGGTATAAACACAACCGGTAAAAATTGTATAAAATATTTCCACGCAGTTCTATAAAAAAGTTAAGTGCTTTGGAAAACTCTTCAAAAATTACGATACATTAGTATCGTTAAATGCTACATTGAAATTGGATTTAATTGACCCTAAAAGAATACTTCAAACATTATATTTTAGAACATATCTTTGCAAAGGAAAAATCTTTGTTAAGAAAGTGTCAAAACTGTTTTCATAATGTCTATTTATTTTTGGGACAGCCTGTTTGCTAGAAACTACCTACTTACGCAATGCAATGATCATTGTGAACAAAGACAAAACAGTCAGTCATACGACAGGGTATAAAGGTATTGCTGCAAACGTGTCTTAAAAAATTAGAAATGTGCATAAAAATCTGGTTATAAAGTTTTTATATATTTTTATTATTAAATCTAAAAACAACAGAGAATGAACATGGTGTGATGTTTTTCACTCGACGGTAATATATAAAGACATCCTTTATATTTGTTTGTCCATTTTTCCCATCAAGCCCAGTTGATGACAATTTTCATTCGGCTATTAAACAAATTGCAAAATAAATGGCAAAGATAGACAAAAATCGAAGGGATTGCTGTGTATCTTACGATTGTGGTGGTATTTGAACAATCTCATCGATACAATTGGCAATTAAAGTTAATGTCAATTGATTTATAAATTTGAAAGAGACCAAATGTTATAAACAGAGGAAAAAGGAAGCTCTTATTTACAGTCTATCTACAGGGTGAGATGAAAAAAGTGCATCAAAGTCAAACACCACAATTTTTACAATTTTTTTTTATTTTATTGAATGAAAGCAAGACATGTCGGAAATTGCATCAAATTTTAGAATAAGTGTAGATCTATTCGAATTGATCACCTTTTTCACTAATCATGACCTTCAAACGACCAATGACACCGTCACACGCTGCCCGAATGTTGCTCTGCGGTATTTTGGCCCATTCCCGGCAAGCGCTTGGTTGAGGTGATCGACGGTATTTTGTAGTAACAACCTTGCTTTCCAAAATACTCCAGAGACAATAGTAAAAAAGATTGGCATCCGGAAATTTTGGTGGCCATAGTGCGCTGGAAATGAAGCGAGGAACCTCATTTTGTAACCATTTTTGGGTGGCGCATGCTGAGTGCGATGGTGCTGACTCTTGTTGGAATGTCCAAGGTCTGCGGCGTAATTTTTGCGTGCCCAAGGCTTTAATGCACCCTGCAGAATATTTTCGAGATAATATTCGACATTTATTCTGGTACCACGGTCGATTGATACGAGCGGAGAGCGAACATCGGCTGTTATGACGGCCACACCATCACCATGGCTGGCGGTTGAGTTTTGTTGGCCAACCGAAGGTGCACATTTTCAGCTGACCTCTTTGGCAAGTAAACACGATCATTTTGTTTTTTTTTACAAACTGATGGACAACGAATGTTTTCTCATCGGAGAAAACCAAATTCGGCAGTTCACCATTTTCGGCCAAGCGAAGCAACTCTTTAGCTCTTTTGAGTCTATTTTCTTTCTGTTGCGGTGTAAGTTCTTGCACTTTTTGGAATTTCCATGGATTTACCCCGAGCTCTGTTTTCAGTATTTGCCTAATGGAATATTGCGATACGATCGGTTCATGATCCACTTTTCGGCCAATGCGACGCGAAAATTCCCACCAAAATGATTTTTTACGCTTGTAAACAATATAATGAGCTGTCACTGTAATAATTTTAACAGCAGTCGGACGAGTTGGTTGCAGTTCAACTCACCCTGTATGGGCTATACCATGATGTTCATAGATTTCCGAAATATTTTGTAAAGGTTGACGTACCAAATTAAAACCGTAGTTAACAAATAGTAAACAATCTCATTAGAAGTCGTGGTCGAAACCCTCGCTATACCAAAATTAGGACCGAGGTCGGTGTCTGTCCCTTGAATATTTGCATATAACGAACTGTGCTGGCATCTCTTTGTTACTTAAGACACGATTAGACTGAAGCTTCTTCGAAAATAAATAAGTTATTTCAATTCGAATAATATTGAATGTAAATAAGCATTTACCGTTTCTTTCGCCGTTACATGCTAAGGTCTAATGTTCAAATAATCATGTCTGCAGGCGTAGACATTTGCGATGACATTAGGAAAGTTATGGCGAAATAACAAACTGTTATTTTTCATATGGCCCGGTCTTCTTTGGTATTACCAACATATATAACATACGCCTACTCGAAACAGCTAAACAGAAAATCCCATATGCAAAGTATTCATTTTAAAGGATGGGCTCTTTTTATTGCGGTGGACAAGACTATCACAACGACTCTACGAATGAGGGAAATTCAACGTAACAAGCAAACAAACATTCACACAAAACTAACAACAACATTAACTTATTCACGTTAAGATATTTCCATGAAATCGGACAACATGTCATGACTTTAGTTGTAAACAATGAAAATATGGTCAAATTCACTTTAAAATCTAAATATACACACACACTCGCTCGCCACACACACATAATTCTATTGACAGCCAGTGGACACTGCCCATATAACTGTCATCTGGGCCGTGGTCATGTGTTCATGTTTAGGAAATTGTCGTATCTTACCTTTCCATCGAGCGTTGCTTCTTCGGGCAGGCCATTGGTTGTATAATTCCCACTATCTCCATGTTGCACATAATTCGATTGTGCTCTGACATAACTAAATTGCAAAGAACTTAGAAGGATGACTAGTAAAGCCAACATGGGCCTTAATTTGATTGAACATTCTTCATTCATTGTGCTGCTGCTGCTTCCTTCGGCTGTTGTTGTTACTTCTGACGTCTATTTATTCCTCCCCTTATGTGTGGTTCGTTGTTCTTGAGTGTTTTGATTCCAAAACAGATGGTGGTGGGGAAATGTTTGGGGATATTGTTACGATTTCCGCAAAAATGTTGCTATGTAATTTTAAGTCCGGATTTTCAGTTCTGTCAGCTATACTTTGGATGAAATTTGTTTGGGGCTAGGATGGGTAATAGTTAGACATCTGTAAAGAATTAGAAGAGAGGGAAAATTAATATTAGTTGGAAAATAAAATTTTACATAATTTTTGAAGTTATAAAAATTTGAAATTTACATTAAATTTCCTAATATTTCCTAATGAAACTAACAATTATGTATTAAATCTATGTTAATGATAAATAAATAATATGGTACACAAACGAGAGCTAAATATATAAGAAATATGATATAGATGCAGTATCATAAATGGAAAGTGTATTGAATGATAAGGGAGGTGGGGAATAAATAGATAAGTAAATGCTTCGTTTAATTAAACAATTTTTAATTTTTACATGATGACAAGTCTTTTTAGTTTTAAGTCTCCACTAATTTTTTCTCCGCGACAAGTATAAGCTAGCAAAATTCGAAGGACAACAAATTATGGATTATATCAATATATTTTCTCCCGGATTTATATTTTTTAAATTGTTATCAAAGACTTTCTATGAAGTTTTGAATATTTTTCGTGGATTTTTAGTATTTTCAGGGATTAACAATGCGGGATAAAAATTATCAATGTGGATTTTTAAAAAATATAACCAAGGATGGGGATTTTTAAGAAACTTGTCCAAGGGAAAATAACTTGGATTTTTTAAAAATATATATTCAAGGACCATCAACGTGTTTTTTCTTTAAATATACCCAATGACTATCAGCGTGGATTTAAAAAAAAAAAATAAACCCAAGGTCTATCATCGTCGTGTTTTAAAAAATTTAACCAAGGACTATTAACGTTGATTTTTAAAAAATATATATCAAAGGACTATCAACGTGGATTTTAGAAAAATATATAACCAAGGACTAACCAAGGACGTGCATTTCCAAGGACGGAGGTTTTTTAGAATCTTTTCATGAACTATTAACGTGGATTTTTAAGAATCTTGTCCAAAGACTGTCAAGTGGATTTTAAAGAATCAAGTCCAGAGACTGTCAAGTGGATTTTTATGAATGTTCCCAGCGACTTAGACAGTCCCTTGGTTAAAAAATGTTCAGGTACTGCCAAAGCGGGTTGTAAGCATTTTTTCTAAAGACTATCAATGTGGACGTTTTAAGAATTTTTTTCCCAGGACTATCAACGTGAATGTTTAAGGATCATTTCGAAGGACTACCCAAAAATTTGTTTAATATATCGAAGGACTATAAGGAATATTTCCAAGGGCTATAAACCTGAATTTTTAAAATCTTGTCTAAAGACAGTCAACGCAAATTTTTAAGAATCCTGTTTAAGGACTATCAACCTGTATTTTTATAAGAATTTTTTTTAAACATTTTCATACGCCATTAACCTGGATTTGTTAAAATTATTTGTAAGGATTATTGATGACATTTTCAAGAATATTCCCAAGGACTTTAATTTGCATACCCTCCGCCATAGTAGGGTATATTAAGTTTGTCATTCCATTTGTAACACCTAGAAATATACATTTTATACCCCACAAAGTATATGTATATATATACGTGATCAGCATAACATTCTGTACATCTGTGGAAATCACTCTAGCTTCCGGACAAAATAAAGTAGGTTGATAAAGTTTTACTCAAATCTGTATTATGTCTGCATTACTTTTGGTATTGAAAATGGGTGATGTAGGTCCACGTTTTGGTATAGCCCCCATATAATGGTACCTCCCTTTATTCTGTATTTTGATTATTTTAGCGACATTTTTCACCGGAAATGTTTCAAATTTGGTACTTAAAGTTCGTAATGGGTTGTACAGCCTATGACAGAAAATTGTCTGTGCAAGTCCACGTCTTCGTATAGCCCCCATACAACGGTACCTCCCGATATTCTGTATGTTGATGATTTTAGAGACAATATTCACCGGAATTGTTTCAAATTTGGTATTTGAAGTTCGTAATGAGAACTACAGTCTGTGACAGAAAATTGTCTATGCAGGTTCAGGTCTTCTTATAGGCTCCATATAATGGTACCTCCCTATATTCGGTATTTTGATAATTTTAGCGGCATTATTCAGCGGAATTGTTTCATATTTGGTATTTGAAGCTCGAAATGGATGCTACAGCCTATGGCAGGAGATTGTCTGTGCAGGTCCACATCTTCGTATAGGCCCCATATAACGGTACCTCCCGATATTCAGTATTTTGATGAATTTAACTACATTATTCACCAATTTTTTTTTAAGTTTGGTATTTGAATATTGTTATGGCTTATGACAAAAGTTACCTATGCAGGTCTATGTCGTCATATAGACCCTAATATAACAGCTACATTTAGCATATTAACAGAATTTTTAACGGTTTTTATTGTTTTTGAGAATTGCCAAATTCGTTCCAAATGGTGGAGGATATTCAAATTTCCACCCAGCCGAACTTACAGCTTTTTTACTTGTTTTTTCAAATTTCCACGTTGAAAGTCCTTGGCCAAGGATTTTTAAAGTTTTTTAAGACTTTGGCTTAGCTGCTTCACAATGAAAGATAACTTGTCCTGCCAGAACGTCGTCGTATGCACTGCAAAAGGGTACCTTCTATTAGTTTTAATTATGTCAGGTTTTCTTAGCATTCTCTTTTTTTACTTTATATTTATTTTTGTTAAATCTCAGGCATCAATGGCGTTGTAGGAAACATTTAGTTGGCTTTAAGTACTATTTTCAAATATGCAATGCCTGCTTTTACTTCTTACTAGTTCGATATTATGAGTCAAATTAGCTTGGTGCCAATTTTAGCAATTTTTGATTTCAAATGCATTTTTTGGAACTCTTTATTTTTCTTGTAGTCTTTGGCAACTTTTTTTTTAATATAGCCCAAAAATATTCAAATTGGTTTGAGATATTCTTTCGATTATGAAACCTTTTAGAACATAGCTTTAAAAATTATATGTAGTGTCCTTAGTGCCCCATTTTAGCCAAAAATACAATTTTATTCCACCATAGAAAAAAACCTAAATATTGTATGTGAAAAAACTACCAAAGGTTTAATGAACATATTAGTCCCACAAGGCCATATGAGGATTAAACCCATATGTTCTTGTTGTACGTTTAGAACCCTCAAACTATGCAATTTCCAAAGTTCACCCGTTTAACAAAGGTGTTAAGGAAAGCTTCCACAATAATAGGCTCTTACGCTGTGGCGCCCAATCAAACTCGATCCATTTGATATATTTATAAGTTGTTTGATAATCCTTCTATTATGTACCAACTGAATTCAGTATTTTATGTGTTGGGCGAAAAATCTCTTTAATTTATATATTGTACAAATTGTCTTTCCTCTCAAAATGTTGAAGACTACTGCCTGAAGAGTATTTTTGTCATATAACCTCACTATATGAATATTACTTGGATTTCTTCATTTGAATATCGTCGGCCTTCGCCAATTATCTTAAATTCTTTCATATTTTATGAATGAAATGCAAGTGTTCGTGGTAGCATGTAAATAATGGATTAGATAAGATATTTAGTTGATTAGTCATTCATGCAACACATTCTTTGCAACACTTGGACTTTTTTATGTATGGCTCATTGATTTTGGAATTCCTGTTTAAATTTTCCAAGCCAACAAATGGAGTTCAGTCATTTATTAAGCAACTTCTTTTGTTGTTTTGGCCTGTGAAAACAAAATCGAAAGAAACATACATATGCATAAATATATACTGACTCTATGGCCATTCACTTTGTTTTGCCAAAGTAATCACATAGCTGGCTGACAAACCAAATTGACCATACGTAGTGTTGAAATTGTTTTTTTTTTTACTTGAAGTTTGCATTTTTTGTTGTTGTCGTTTTTTATTGTTTCTAACTTTTATTAAAAAACTATACACACAGCTGCAATTTTTTTGGTTTTTTTTTTTGTCGGGCAGCCACAGTTACGAAGATAAAAACATCTGTGCAAATTTCTTCACTGTCTGTACCAAAATGTTTGGGTTTTTCTTCTTGTTGTTGTCTCTTTTAACGTGACATGTTTTATTTTCAACAAGGTTGGATTGGGGATTGGCATGGACCAGCGAACACCGGCGGCAACACATGAACGCACATACACTCACACACACACTCATATGGGAAATCGTTGTGGTGAACATGGCACAGACATCATGGCTAAAAGCAAACGCCAAAGTTATGTAGATAAATTGCCACAATTTTCTACCAATATTAGACAGATACAAACCGAGCAACAGCATTAACAGTGTGCTAATGGCAAAAATTGAAAAAAAATTGCAGTGAATAGGGTTATTATGGGGGAAATATAGGATATTGGCGGAGAATTAATTTTTAAGAGGAATTATTTATTGGTTGCGAATTTTTAAAAATATTCTCCTAAGGAAAGTCAACTATCTAAGTGAACTCTTAAAAAAATTAATACCGTCCACAATTTGGAACGAATTTGGCAATTAAAAAAAAAATAAAATCCGTTACAAATTTTGTTAAAATCTTAAAAAATACCGGATGTATCCGTTATATTAGGGTCTATACGACGACGTGAACCGGCATAGGCAACTTTTGCCATAAACCATTAAAATATTCAAATGCGACACTTGAATAAAAAATTCGGTAAATAATGTAGCTAAAATCATCCAGATTCCGGATAAAGGGAGGTACCGTTATATTGGGACTACACGAAGACGTGGACCTGCACAGACAATTTTCTGTCATAGGCTCTAGTACACATTACGAACTCCAAACAACAAATTTAAAACAATTCCGGTGAATAATGTCGCTAAAATCCTCAAAGAACCGAATATAAGGAGGTCTCATTATATGGGGGCTATACCAAAACGTGGACCTGCAGAAACAATTTTTTCTCACATTCTGAAGTATCCATTACGAAGTTCAAATACTAAATTTGAAACAATTCCGGTGAATAATGTCGCTAAAATCATCAAAATACCGAATATCGGGATGTACCGCTACATGAGGGCTATACGAAGAAGTGAACCCGCACAGACAATTTTCTGTCATTGGCTGCAGTATCCATTTTGAACTTCAAATACCAAATTTGATACAATTCCGGTGAATAATGTCGCTAAAATCATCA